TCACTACAGAATAAAGAAGGGAACTATTATGGTATCTCCCTGCAACCAGTTACTAAGATAAAGACATCCAAGAGCAAATTCTGAAATGGATTTTTAAGATATTTAATAACTTCTGAGTAACAGTATAGTATTTTACTTCCAAAATAAGGACTGTAGTATCAGTTCACATCTTCCTTACGGTAATAAGATGCTGGAACTACAGGTTTTATTAGACTCTCAACTTTCTCTCTATTTTTCCTTCTTTTTTTCCTTTCTTTTTAGTAAATAAAAGAGAGACAGAAGTTTAGGGACTTGTGGGAGAAAAAAGCTGAAAATGTGACCCAAATGTACACTTGGAAGGCTGAAGCATGTCAGAACAAATAAAAGGCAACTCGATTGATTATTCCTATTTAAGTTGCAGCACTTTTGGAGGCTTGTTTTGGCACAATCAATTAGCTCTTCTGCGCTTTTTCACCTTGCACAGAAGCAGTGGGAGCTTTACAAGTACCATTTTATAATCCTCAAACAACCTACCAATGCTTTCATTTCCCATCAATTTGTTGCCAGGCACAAAGGGGTTTAATAACAAAATGACTGATGACTCTATTTAAACAGATCATTAGCCTAATGACGTATGAAACTAGCAGAGTTGTTAGCTTAGGTACAAATGTATTCCTTAAAGAGCAACTGAAGTTGCCTTGTCTGATGTCCGCATCGCTTCGCTAATCTCTCTGCAGATTTCTCCTTCGCATTCATCTTCTGCTGGTGAACACTCATTAGGCTCATTGCAAGAGCTCGCTTGGTGCTTATGGCTGTTCCCAGCATCCTGGCAGAGAGCTTGGCAGTGTGAGGAGAAGCCCAGATGGAAGGTGACAATGGGATGTCCATGTTACAGGCTATGATAAACCATGCGTAGCCCCCACCATCAGCGCAGCCCATGTTGCTCCATACTTTCTCTCGATGCAAGGCAGTTCCAACTCAGAGGTTGCGCATTTGAAGTCTTCCTGAACATTGTTGTTATCTGAATTGTGGGTTTTATTTCTTCAAACACTGGTAATTAAAAGCAAAAAGCACAGTGAAAGCATTTTGGAATCTAGTCAGCGTACTCTCCTGTAGATGCCATACGTGCTCTGTATGACCCTAGTGTTCCCAGTAAATCCAGCTCCTGGGGACTGGGCTAAATTTGCTTGCTGCAGCTGGGTTCTTGTTGTGGTTTAAAACCAGTCAGGCAGCTCATTCACTCACTCCCCCCCCTTCTTGCTCTCCCCCTACTCCCGGAGGGACGGAGAGGAGAACTGAAAAGAATGCAACTCCCAGGGGTTGAGATAAGAACAGTTTAGTAACTAAGGTATAACACAAATCACTCCTGCTACCACCAACAATAATGATAAAGGATATAACAAGGGAAGATAATACAACACCTCAGCACCAGCTGACTGATAACTTGCCCCCCCAGCCCAACCAAGCACTGACCGATGCCTCGTCCAACCCCACTGTCCTCCCTTCCGGGTAACTCTCAGTTACATCCTGGGCATGATGTGCTGTGATATGGAATACCTCTTTGGTCAGTTTGGGGCAGGTGTCCTGTCTCTGCTTCCTCCCGGCTTCCCTCCTCCCTGGCAGAGCATGAGGCTCCGAAAGTCCTTGGTCAGACTAAACTACCAGTGTTACCAGCTCTGTTCCCAGGCCGAAAGTCAAAACACAGCACTGCACCAGCTACTATGAAGGAGGAAAATGACTGCTACTACTGAACCCAGGACAGTTCTGATAAGCCCTGCAGAGCATCCATGTTACACCTAGGACTTATTTCTCCCAAAGGTTCAGGCTGCCAAAACTCATAGTGGGTGAGCAATACATGAAAATAATGGTGAGACATCTAATACCAGCATTACAGTGACCACAGTGTTGTGCAGTATGATGTGCTCTACTTAAAAGCATGACTTAATTAGCATGGCAGTTATGTTTTGCTTACTTGGGGCTAGGCAATACAATGGATATCTGTCTCCCATGGCTATTACGAGTCAGCAGTTATTGACATATGCCTTGATCCTCCATGAAGCTTTGTTTTCCCAGTGGTCCGAGACACACAGCTATTGCCTGGGAAGCAGCAGGATTATGGTGGCACCTTTTACCTTTCTCAGAACATCCATCCCAGCAAGTTTTTTAGCAAAGGCCTCGTCCACCAGGATTATGCAATTGCTGCAGATGTATCAAGGGTTGTCTAAGGCTTTGCATTGCATGTCCGGGCTCATGTCTGAAGCAATGAGGGTGACAAAACTGCTGAGTCTAGCATCTGCCCTCTTTAATGGGAGATGCTTCATGAAATGCTCGTAGCTGTAATGGAGTTAATCTTTGCATGAACTAGAACTCACCTGTCCTCCATTTGAAACCTCTGGTACTTTTCCATTATCATACACTTAGAGGAAATCAGGGATTTTTAGCCAGCACATTTATAAAGATTATGCAAGGTACATCACCATTTTAGAAAGGCTTTTCACTGCACATTTATTTTTCTTCATTCCTTATGATTAGTATTTGGCCAAAGAAAGCTCCAGCTCCATTTCTGTTACTACTTGTCCCTGGGTGACCATTTAAGAAGTACTTCATGTGTCATTACACGGTTATTCTCTGTCTTCACTCTAAATGTGTTATTTCTGAATGAAAGGGTCCTTCTTGGTAACTGATCCCCATGCATCCTGACAAGTCCATCAATCCTGCTATGCAGAGCATGTGTCCATCCCGGGTACCTGACGATAAATGAACTATGATTGATACTCCCTTTATACTCTGGAACAGCAGCCATTAAACCTGCTGGACTTGTTCTGTCACACTGAAGACTACCAGGAGGATGGTTTGCATGTCTTTTATACCTAAAACACAGCTATTTATATCCTGAATGCTGTACAGGAATGATGGGAAGTGAATCATCAGAGATGTTTTGATTATATGAATAAGATTCAATTTCAGGTTTATCCTGATGATGTGAATGTTTTCCCTGGAGATGCATGTCTCCTGCCGAGCTGGCAGCTGTGCACAGTAGGGCTTTGCTCCTTTCAGATAGGGCTAATTAAAGAGAAGGACCTGATTAGTAATCTGGTGGGAGACCTCTAAGCCGAATTTGTCATGAGGAAGCGAGTAGTCACTTTTACTCCCTATGTCATAGTCTTTTCCTATTTGAATTCATACCAGACCTGCAGACCACACAATCCAGGAAGGAAGTCACGGCTGGCTGGAGCTGTCACCCTGGGCTTATGTTGGCAAGGCTTTAGTACTCTCTTTCAGCTCGCTTCTACCATCTTTTGTCATCTTCCACCTTGGTTTTCCACTTATAAAACAACAGCTGAGCAGCCACAGCCCAGCCTGGGAAGGAAAACCCATGGCAAAGAGCTGGGATGGGGAGCCCTGGGGACACCCTTCTGCCTCAGGCACTGGAGATCTGGGTGGTTCTTCTGCAAGGTAAGATGTCTCAGCGCTGATGCCCTGTTTTAAGTGTTCCTTTAGACAGGTCTATGCTGCCTCACTCCAGTCCTGCTTGCAGTGGGACAAGACTTTTCCCCTCATATTGCAAAAGCTGATGAGAAGCTGAGATGTTTCAACCTGGAGCTGGTGACTGCAGGCATGGTTCCTGCACAGCAGATGCTAGCTGATGGCATTCATTACTATTATTTATTGCACTCTTTTCATTAAATTAATAAGACCCCACTATCAGAAAAGATCAAAAATAGGCTGCTTCAACATGCAGTAGGATGAATACTTGTGGGGAGGTCTTGAGCAAAGTGAAAGAAATACACAAGATTGCTACATGAGCTTCTCCTTCCCCCACCATCTATAAATAGGCTCACACTGCAAGCTTGAGGATGGTCTTTAACTAAACACAGTGGTTTATAATATCATAAGAAGTACAAGTCTGGAGATGATGATGCCTTTATCTGGTATTTCCTACCATTGTACTGGATCTTGGTCATTTTTAAGCCTTAGAATATTTAAGGTACAGAAACAAGGAATGGCAGGTAACTCATTTTCCATGTGTTTCCAGGTGGGATGCACATATAGGGGGAAAGTAGCTTGAAATGCAGCCTCTTTCATGTAAGGAAAACACCAGTGATGGACCATTTCCTATAAAGTCCCATGCTAGGTCCAAGATAGATGCAAATCAATGGCATTTCTACATATGAGGATACATTTCCAACCCTAACTATTCTATGATTCTATGATTTCCATTGAATGTGGGGTTTTTTAGCTCTTTTATTTTCACTCCTTTTGTCAGCACACTCACCTATAGCAAATGTGTAATTTTATTCTTACAAACAGGCACCATTGTTTTCAAAGGGAACGGATGGTTCCTACATCATAACCATCTGCTGCTTGTTGCAGGCTGCTAGTGGCCCACTGTTTTTAAACACAGCTACATCTGTGAGTACGTAACACCTGAAAGCACTCTGACTGGCATTCCATCCCTTTTCCTTTTCTCTTTCTTTAGCAATTTTTGGTATGCTTTTTCAAATCCATGCTTCCCCCCAATCAGTTTTTCATAAAATCATAGAACTGGTTGTAATTCTATAGAAAGGATATCAAGATCGTCTAGTTCCACCCCCTGCCATGGGCAGGGACACCTTCCACTAGACCAGGTTGCTGAAGGTCTGGTCTTGAGCCTGTTAGAGATGGAGCATTCATAACTTCCTTCAGTAGCCTGTTCCAGTGCCTCACCACCCTCACAGTAAAGAACGTTTTCCTCATATATATAACAAGATTTTCCCCTTTATAGACTAAGAAGTGTTGTCTCAAAATCTTTGCCATGCTCATGCAGAAGTGACTTGGCAACAGAGATGCGAAGGATGCAGAGTGGTGATGCTGGGGGGGACAAAAACAACAGCCCCCTGATTTGAGAGAAATCCTGAACTGCCATGGGTGTTTTTATACGTATTTAGGACATTTGCTGCCCTTCATTGGGTGTTCTTCTGGCTTGTCTCTCTCCTACTATGATGGTCTAAATGCAAGTAATAATTTATTAAAGAACTATATAAACTGTTGTTTTATTTTTATTAAAAACAAAGCAAAGCAGAACAAATACTCATTTCTGTGGAAGCATGTTCTTTACCACACAGGTCGATTAGCCCAGTTTGATGCTAAGAAAAGCTGTGCTGGTGGTAATGATCTTCTGCTTGCCTGCAAGGAAAAAAATAATCCTTTTTGTGTTTCTTGCAGGATTGAAAATCAATGTTAGATTTACTGACTGGAGCTCAGCTATAGCAAAGCTTTGGCCAAAATCTCCATAGGTGTAAAGCAGTACAGCTGCTCTGGCTGGAGGGTGCTGGTGCCAGCTGAGCCAGCTGGATTTTATTGCTTATTAGATCAAATTAAAGGCTGTTTGCATCTCACATCAATTCTGACACAGAGATTTGCAAGCAGGAGCATTAAAGATGGCAAAATTCATGCATACAACCACCTTTTATTAAATAATGTATCAGGTTTGTGTTGTTAGCACAGCATCCTCAGGCTTTTACTGACCCTAAGACCTGTTCTGCTCCTAATGCAGTTAAATAAGGCTGTTATTTGTGCCGTGTGAGCAGTGATCACCCTAAAAACTGAGAAGGACCTCACTGTCTGTACCAGTGACGAACCTGCTCCATTGCCTCCAGCAACCCTGTACAATCCTGGGGGGCACATTCCTTATGGGGATTGGGTAGTGTAAGTGATGGGAGACCCTCCTGAGCAAGAAGGGACATCTCCTCTGGGTATCAGTCCAGTTGAAGACTGGGGGGGTCTTTATTCATACAGTTTCTCATGCCTCTGCCACAAACCAGCTCAATTTCTTCCACTAAACCCCGATGAGCAAAACAGACTTTTCATCATCTCCTTGAAAAAAACAAAAATTGCAATGTATCTGCCTGCAGGTGATGAGTACAATTACATCCCCCTCCTGCTTTTTGCCCCCAATAAGGAAAAGCATCTTTCACTGAAATATCTGTCCGTTTAGCAAAGCCGGCAGCTGTCAGGAGAGAAAAGCTGCAGATTGACAGAGGAAAGAAACAGCAAAAGAGCTCCCAGAACGCTGCACAGAAAAAAATGATCTTAAGATGTTGACCTCACATGAAAGTGTGCGTAGTTAAAATAAAACCAGCAATATAATGTCCTGGTTATTTCCTAGATGGGAGTGCTGTACTCACTGCGTGGTATCCCAGCCTGAGAGCCTGCAGTTGTATTTTTCTTGTGTTTTTTTCCTACAGAACAGGAAATGTGGCACGTTTAGAGGTGGGTCCTCTTATTTCTGAAACCCCTGCACTTCTTTTGTCCCATCACCTTGATCACATTATGGTCTGGTCTTATCAAATCACATCAGGGTTGGTAATTTGCAAGGGCACCGGTGCAGTTGCATTAGATTTCTGACCTGTGAGAAATCACACACTGTATTATTAAAACCCAAATTAGGTAAAAAAATAGTGATTTCTCCCATCTCCTCTCCTTGAGTTCACGTAGTCTTTGATTTTTTCCTCCACTTTAATATTCTGTCTATAAACCAGTTCACTTCCAGATCCTGCTGTTCAGCTGTTACTGAAAAATCATCTTCAGAAACACCGAGCAGGGAAATGTTGATTTGTTTTGATCTCAGGGGAAATAATGTAACTCAGCAACAAGCCCACCAACAGCAGCTCTTAATACACAACCAGACAGCTCACAGAGAAATCACCTTGCTGTTAGGCTGCGTTCACATATTTAATTGCATTTAATTCTTGAATTCTGATACAACTCGTTTCAGCTGTATGAATAATTTGTGGGGGGGGGGGGGTATTTGGTTCACTGGGTGAACCAAAGGAGAACAGAGGAGAAAAAACAGAAAGTGGTTTCATTTTCATGTTCTTTAATCCTCTTTGCCATGTGGCCTTTTAAAACTCTTTTTGTAGGTTTTATTATAAAATGGATAAAAAAATGTAGTTTCAGAAAGAAAAGCTGAACTGTTTAATTCCTAAAGCTAATCTGGAGGGGGGAGGGGGGGTGGTAAAGGTTAAAATGCAGCATTTGGGCATACCTCCGGTTAGGCTTTTGGGTGACTTATGCCCAAACATGCACCTTATCAGCTTTGAATGTTCATTTTGCCAAGCAGAACCAGGGCAGGCACATATGTGAGGACAACACACCCAAAACCACTGTTTCCTCCCATAATTGCCTTGCACTTGTCACAGTGGTATTCTTACGAGCGCTGGATTTTCAGACTCTGTGAGTTCTCTAATGTGACCATGCTGAAAGCAGCTTTCCTACAAGCGATTACTTACTCACAAAACCAGACTGTTCTTCCCGGTCGTGACTCCTAGAAACACACAGGGTTTGGCTAGGACTGATGTGCCCTTTTCCAGCTTACCAGACTACCTGCTGGTCAGCCAGCTTTCCTAGAGCCAAGTACTTATTCAGAACAAAAATATTTCAGAGGAAGAACTATTACAGCAGTGATGCTATGCCTGCCTTGCTCTAGTGGTGGTCACCCTGAGACCCAGCAGGCTGGTGGCACTATCATCCACCATGCAGTAATGGGACCATCGCATCCAAAGCTTTTGCCATCCTGTGGTTTCCCAGATTGGGTCAAAGCATCCTCTGCCATCAGGGAATAAATTTGTTGCTGGCATTATTTCTGCATTTAGGGAATTGTAGTCATTATCATGTAGTATATTTGGTTGCCATTTGAAGCTGCTTCTGGACTACCTATTGAGCTTGAAAGTTGCTAACACAGACATCTCCAGTGATGGTTAATGTCAAAGGCTGAATGCCTCTTGCTTTCACAACACTTGTATCTGAAAGACTGGCACTTCAGTATAACATTCCTGAAACACCCCACCATGCCAGGGTCTTCCCTGTACCTTACTGTCCCCACACTGCTCCCATTGCAGGCAACAACCGACCCTCCAGTGAGGGGCTATGGGCTGTCAGGAAGGAGATACAGGAGCAGAGATGAGTGGAGGGATGAAGGAGAGGAATGTGGGGGGAAATCCAGTGTGGAGGATTTCAAGAGCTGTGTGACAAAGACATGAGCTGTCAGGCAGGTTCAGGGACCTTGGAACAGTTTGCTACAAAACAAGCCTAACAAATAAACTGTGGATTTTAATTAACGTGTTCTTTCACTCATGCACAAAATTAAAAACCCATCCAGCCTCAATCACCATCATCTTTTTTCTATTTATTTTTTCTTAAATTAGGAGGTTTTGCTATACTAATTGTTACATTTGTCCGTTTCCATCAAATCAAACTAATGACAACCAGATGGTTGCAGCTCTCAAGATGCCTCACTCAGGGCTAATCCATGCTCTCTGCTGTGCAGAAGCAAGGAGCAGAGGGAGTCGGTCCTCTTCCTCCAGGCACTGAAAGGACAGGATTAAAAAATACATAGTCAGCAGGAGGTAAAGCTGGTGAATACCGCTGTGACCAGCTCTCCCCATGGAGCTGAGGTTGGATTATCCACCCTGTTCATACACTGTCATCAAAAAACATGCAGAGGGATGGATGGGGAAAAGTAATCTGTCTGGAACAGAAACAATGTGTGCTTGATCTCCAGTCACTCTAAAGGATGTGAACATTCATATATGCCCCCTGTTGGTGCACTCCCAGTGTGTGTAGATGCTGTGTGTCTCATCTTCTTGTACATCCTCTACCTGGTCCATCACCCATGCACAAAAAATTACCAAGGGTGAGATTTGTCCCCACATGTTTTGCTCCACAGTAACAGACTTGAGATGTCGCTCCTGTCAGCTCCTGATAATACATGCATGTTAATAATTACAGCAGTTTAGTTAAGAAGCAGTAGGTCAAACCTGTTGTGATCACTTGGATGATACGTGAAAATTATTACAGGGTGCACCCATTGTAAGTTAGGATGATTAAGGCTGCTGTTATTAACACTCTGCCCTTCCCTACTGCCAGTTTAATTTTCTCGAACATTTTTACATCCTGCTCCTCATGGTGCCTTGGGGTTTTGTAGTAAAATTGAATAACCATTTTCCTTTCTAATTTTTCTACTAAAGCACCATCTTCTTTCACCATCAGAGCTGAGAAGCAGGTTAATCCCGTGCAAACTCATCCGCTGTTAGCACTTCTCCCTGCTCGGGGGTGATAGCCCAGTCAGAAACCAGTGGAACTTCTACACCTCATTCATCACTTCTCACAAGCAGCTACTATCGGAGACTGTCACAGTTAATAGAAGTCTCTGAGGACTTTCAGGTAGGTTTTAACACCCACAGATTGTGGGAGGCTTGACTAGTTGAGCAGTGGAGCAGACTTGTTGGAGTCATCTGTTGGCCTCCCCAGCACATAGGCACACCACCAGCTTACTGGGATGTGGGAACCCATGTACTAGAAAGGGTTCTGCCTGCAGCTGTGTTGCACATGTCCAACACGGTGACAACACATGGTGGTGCACAGCCAAAAATCAGGGTCATACCTCCACAATGGAAAAGGTTTTATGATTCTTTGTGTTCCCAAAATCAGGAGGAAACTCACTGGTCTGACATAGCCACAAGCTGCAACTTGCCTTTAAAGAGAAGCCCTCGGTTTTCCATCTTTCCCTTCTTCAATGGACAATCCTGTTAGGAAGAAAAACATGACATGGGCTGTGGTTCCTTGATTTTGTCTACAATAAAAATGTGGCTCTTATTTATATTCTGTACTGATGAAAGCAGAAGGTTCCCACCTGCAGCTCTCAGGCGATGTTGTCTTTCTGTAATTTGAATGGTTGAGCCAAAATTTCACATTAAGGGAAACCTTTCTCCATGCCTTTCTGTCTCTGGGGATATCACGGCTCCCTCTGAAATAACCCTTGAGCTCTACCTCCAAAAGACAATTCCAAACAGCAGCTTTGGTGGGGTTTGGATCCTTGGCTTACATCAAATGCATTACTCTGGTGTGTTTCAGAAAAGCAGCTATTCCTGCAGACACCACAGGGGCTTCAGCTCCTTCTCAAGCTCTAAAGCTATGGCTAAAGTCAGCAGGCTGTTTAAAAGCAGGCAAGGCTGTGATGGGATTTTATCTGCATTCAAGCTAGGCTCAGTTAGCATCCAACATCAGGAAGGCTCCCAATCACATGTTTTTCCATTTCTGAAACTGTTTTACAGTGGCCAACACTTTCACATCCAAGCATCAAAACAAGTGGCACTGCATACACAAAATAGAAACAGCACCAGTAGCTGCACTATTATTATTGGCCCTTCTGAGACTGGCGAGGAAGGTTAAAAGGCGCCTAGGACTACTGTACCTGAGGCCTAATGATGATAAACTCCAGCTATAAAAGGCTGCAGGAGGAGCACAGATTCTTGAACTGGAAACTTGGAGCTGGGTCCTAGGGTTGCCTTGACACATAGAACACAGGTGTCTAGTGGGAAAGAAGGTGTGAGAACTGCCTGTGCTGCTGAAAGTAAGTGATTTTGGGGAGGAAAGAGCTGAGGTGCTGTTACTGGGGTATGGTGTTTATGGTGTGAGAGGCTAGGCAGTCCTTGATAGGAGATGTTGGCTCTCAGGTAGAAGTCAAAGATCCCTCTGCTAATATATTTTCCTCCCTTGTGATGGACACTGGTATCCACTTTGCTATGTGTTTATTTCTTGGAAAGGTTAATAGTCATTTGGTTAAGCTTGAAAGGGGTATCTGCCCCAACTCTTGGCAGAAGGGCAGAAATAGGAGAGATGAGGAAAACTGTCTGTGCCAATACACTGGACTGGGAATCACAGTCTTCTAGCAGCAGTTTCACAGCCTGTGTGACCTGACCTTGAAAGTCAAGGAACAGACAAAATTCAACACCGTATACTATTGGTCAGTTAATATTTAACCTAAAAGTTGGGGTTGGCAGCCTCAATGAGCAACAACTGTGCTAGAGATAATGGGTTTAGCTTTGGGATGCATCCAAAGCCTGACTAAAACTCTGGGGATGCTCGGGATAGTGCTGAGCTGACACCCTCCCTCCCCTCTCCATCATGGCTTTGGGATGCTGATGCATATCCTCTCACTGGACCGAGCTTGGGTGCTTGATTTGCAGCCTGTATAGCTGAAAAACGTGGGTGTTTTTAATGTGTTTCAAGGGTCTTGTCCTGCCTGCCAAAAGCTTGCAGCAGCTGCCCAGGCTAATTTTACAAGTTGGGTGTTTGCTTCTGACAGGCAACTCCTCACATCTTTATGACTAGACATTATTATATTGTTCTTTCATTTGATAACTGTTTCAGTAATGGCTTCCATTTGCAGTAAATCTCTTCTGCTGTCTTTTTCCCCCC